GCTACTGAGGGAGATACAGATAAGTGGAGAGAAATCCAACAGGAGTAGGATGGGTTGGATACCCATCCATGGCACACAGAGGGAGGGAAAGAGATAACGGTTGTTTGGGGAACATTATGTACAAGATGCTGGCAAGGCATTTTAATGACAGTGATCAGTCAAACTGCTGGACATTCTAATCTGGTATACAGAACAATTAAGAGAGAAGGATACATGAGGCATCTGAATAAAGTGAATATCAACAGCGACATTAATATGACCCTTTACACTTCGCAGATCATTTCAGTACTCAGTAACTCAGTTGGTATTTAATATAACTCCCTGCAACGAAGCAGGTCTTAATATGGCATTCTAGAAACATGAAAATCAAAATTCCTTCATGTAATTTTGCTTCAGCTTTTAACACTAGTAAGTGACAGAACCAGGACTTGAAACCAGGCTATCTGACACCAAATTCTGAGATTTTTGGTGTGTGATTTTCATTACACTACAGAGCCTATGCAATGAGGATTTGAGCTGTAGAAGATGAGTTTCCAAGGGGAGAAGATATGGTCACCATAGCTTAGGACACACCTATTTTTAGGGACTGCAAAGAAGAGAGCAAAGTAAAGGAAAAAGCCATAGAGAAGGAGAAAGTGACTGGAGAGTATTTGGCCCTAGAAAGCAGGTGGTGGGCAGAGGGTGGCGAGCTCCTAGAGTGAGGGAATGGCTAGCATTATCAGATATTACCTAGAAGATCAGCATGTTCATTGCTAAGAACAAATCACTTTCTTTACTGCACATTTTGCCTTTCTCATTTCATGCTCATTCTCATTTCACACATTGTGGCTTTAGATCCTAACTAGATTATAAGTTCCTTGAGGGCAGCATCCAGGTCTTATTTTCCTTCTTGTCTCTGTACTGCCTAACACAGTTAGGCATATAGGAAATATATAGGCTAATAGGAAACATGGAAGCTCTCTGCATGCAGGTGATTAATCATCACTAAAATTTTTCCAAAGGCACAGTCACTAGTGCCAAAAGCACATTTGTTTAAAATGTGTGCTTAACTTTGAATGAATCTGCCTAAATGGTGCCATCTGTTCTTAGGCAGTTTCAGAAACATTTTAATATGATTTTACCTTTAAAAGGACAAATGTAGGGCCATGCCTATGAGACATAAAGACATCCTTAAATAAACACAGAGCAGACACCAGCACATCCAATCACACTTAAAAAGCTCCACATAAAGAATGTTTTCTGAGGTTTAAGAAATTTTTATCTAAGAGGACACCAACTGCTACTTCATGCAGAAAATATTTATGAGACGTTACAAAACTGTAGGCACGGACTCCTACAGCATATTACTGCATTTTAATTACAGACTCCAGAATATACAATTTTAGTTTATGTGAATCTTATATTCCTTTGAAATGGGTACACTCTACCAATATTCATTTATGGCTCACATTTTATTGGTTTCAGAATATCAGTTTCGAAGCTGAAGACAGCTGTTGAGAAGTCTCCATGTTATTTGTTTATATTGATTGTCAGTTTGACTTTTGTTACAGTATTGTAGGATTTATTGTTGCGCGACTATCACAGTGAAATGAAACCCATGTTTAAGTTCTGCAAATAACTTACAGTCACTTCCAAAACACCTCAACTTAGGTTCTAAATTTGAGTTTGCGGTTTTACATGCACAGTTATTTGCTGATCCGCTTTAGCAGGCAAAATCACACACTGGCCAGGTTTGGGCATAGTTATTGTGGCAACAAGTAATGGGTCAAATTTTCGGCCTGTTTAACTCACTAGCTACATCATCATCACCAAAACTATGCCAGCATTTTGACATCTGTTTATTTTGGCAGTTGGTGTAAATCAACTCTGGTGTATATCAAGAATTTATATTTACAGAAAGAATTTCTGGTTGAATTACCATTCAAATATGTTACCCTGTCTGCACACATGTGCATCCATATTGAAATTTTTTGGTTAAATCTCATTTTGCAAAGGTGGAGATCTGAACATATTCACTCATATGAATACTCACTTGGAATATTTTTGGTTTTTTTGTTGTTTGACAGGATGATACTACTAACTTGTCACTCGTATCTTGAATCAGATTAATTTCTTTCTTGTTCCAAAAAATGTAAAACACAAAAAAGTACAGAGAATAATGTGACCAACATCCATGTTTTCCAATCCAGGATTTGCTTCTAATAATTTTTAACTAAATGAAAAAGAATATTGCAGATAAAGCTGAAATCCCTTTCTTGGCCTTTCATTTCCATCCCTCACAAACACAACTGCTATTATTAATTTGCCATATCCTTCTGGTCCATGTTTTTATACTTAATGCCCTAAGTTATAGCTTCATGAACGATAGATAATATTGCTTTTTTAATTATGTAAATTCTATCATAGTGTTCATATCATTATTTAACTTTCTATTTTTTCTCAGCTTTCTATTTTAGAAATCCATTTATGTCAATCTATCCAAAGTTGCTTTATTTTAACATCCCTGTAATTTGCATTATCTCAGTTTACTAATCTTTTCTGTCACAGATGTCTACTTAGGTTGTGTGTCTTGCACCAATTTCTTGCTATCCTTAATAATGTTGCAGTGAAAGTCCATGTATATATGTCCTTATCACTTATCATGCATATATATATACACACACACATACACACACACATATATATGTATACCTGTCCAAGATTTCTCTCTAGGAAATATATCTAGTAGTTTATTGATGGCTGTGGGTTATACTATGTATTTGGAACTTTGCCATATATTATCAGATTGCTGTCAAAATTTATTCTTAACTTATATTTCTACCAGCAGTACATAAAATTTCCCATTTCCTTATATCTCCAACGACATGTATTTTGTTAGACTTTATTTTTTAAACCTTATGGTTCTAAGTTATGTGGTTCTGATTATGTATAAATTTGAGCATTTTTTCAAATATTCATTAACCATTTCCAGATTTCTTCTTTATAAGTTACCTAGTCATATTCTTTGCTTACTTTTTCTCACTGATTTGCAAGAGTTCTTTATTTATGTCTTTATTTATTTATGTATGTGTTTATTTTTGAGATGGAGTCTTGCTCCGTCACCCATGCTGGAATGCAGTGGCATTATCTTGGCTCACTGCAACCTCTGCCTCCCGGGTTCAAGGTGTTCTCCTGCCTCAGCCTCCCAAGTAGCTGGGATTACAAACATGCACCACCAATCCTGGTTATTTATTTATTTATTTATTTATTTATTTATTTATTTATATTTTTAGTACACACGGGGTTTCACCATTTTGGTCAGCTGGTCTCAAGCTCCTGATCTCAAGTGATCTATCCACCTCGGGCCTCCCAAAGTGTTGGAATTACAGGCGTGAGCTACCGCACCTGGCCGAGTTCTTTATTGTTAACGTTTTGTCAGCCATATGTATTGCAAATATCTTCTAGAGTTTTAATTTTTTGGTGGATTTTATCAGACAGAAGTTTTTACATTTTGGATTATCTTGGTCAAATAGTTTAAATCAATTTATTTTTGTGTTTTATGTCTTAAAGTATCCATTACCTCCTTGGGTTGATTACAGTATGCTTCCATGTTTTATTGTATTTGTGCTAAAGTTATGTACATATTTCACACTTAAAGCTTTAATCTATTCTGGAATTTCTTTGTGTGCATAGTGTAAGGAAGCAATCTAAGTTTATTTTTTTCAAGATGGATAGCTGGTTATTCCAGTACCATTTATTAAATCAGTGCATCCTTTCTTCACTGTGGTGTGATGTCACCTCTGTCCCATACAGAGCTCCTCAGTGAGCACAGCATGTCTCACTGTCCTAGCTATCTGCTCCTACACCAGCACCACACTGTTCTAATTACTGTAGCTTTGTGGTATACCTTGATAGATGGCAGGAAGGTCTCCTTTCTTATTCTTCTTTCACAGAATTACTTTTCATTTTTTTCTTTTTATTTTTTGATGGAGCAACTTCAGTAAGGAAGTGTAAACAGCATTACTTTTCATTTTATTTGAAGATTTCTCTTCTGTATGCCATTTAGGATCAGTTTGTCTTTTTTCTATAAATAAAACCTGTAGCGTTTTTATTTCAATTGCATTGAATATATAGGTTAATATGTAGACATTTACATATAGATTAATGTTGAGTTTTCCCATCTATGAAATGGTGCATTAATATCCTGCATACCATTTATTCCAGGTTTCTTTGTCCTTTAATATTATCTTACCACTTTCCCTATAAATTACATATCCTTTAGAAAATTCATCCCTTATTATTTCATTGTCTTTCTTGCCATTGTGAATAATATTATATTTTCTGATTGTCACTCTGAGTTATTAGAACCTCATTGATTTTATGTATTCATCTCACATCCAGCAACCATACTAAACTTTTTAGTTCTTAGCCATTTGTTTGGAGATGCCCTTGCATTTTCTATGTCGACCACCATATATTTTTGTACACAATGACATTTTTAATTTCTTCTTTTCCTACTATTATGCCTTCTATTTCTTTTTCTTGTTTATTATATTGTCTAGGGCCTCCACTTTAGTGTTGAGCAGTAGCAGTGATGGTAGGTTTCTTTGTCTGTGGCTTTTGTTTACAATTGTGATCATGAATTTTTCTGATACACACATTCTCACCTCTTTCCCCATGAGATTAACATTAAGCATTTTCAAGCATTAAGCCAAGGTTAATGCCTGGATTATAGACAGGTAATGAAATAAAGTTATATTGGCAAGAGGACTCGATCTATACCTCATTAGAACTCTTTTCTCACTTTCTGAGTCAACCCATCCATGTTTGTCATCAGTAATCCAAGAGGTAATACATTCAAAACAACTTACTTGAAAGGTCTTAGTCACAAGTGGTTTTGCTCCAGTTGACAGCTGGCTTCATGAGAAATGTCTTGTCACTAGAAATATTATTTTAAATGTTTTGATAGTCTTCAAAAATTTTCATTGTTCAAATAATTTTTCTTTTGCAATTTTTTATAGACTCCTATGAACCAAGCTTCAACTCGTTCCCACTGCATTTTTACTATTCATTTGTCAAGCAAGGAACCAGGATCTGCAACAGTACGACACGCCAAACTCCATCTGGTTGACCTGGCTGGTTCAGAGCGAGTTGCGAAGACTGGAGTAGGGGGCCATCTTCTAACCGAGGCCAAGTATATCAACTTGTCACTACATTACTTAGAACAGGTAAAATGGGCAGAGTGGGATGTATTAATAACTATAGCTACCATGTGCTGACCACATACTATGTATCAGGCATTCTATTAGAATTTTTTTAATTATGATAAAATATATGTAACATAAAATTTGCCATTTTTTAAGTACATAACTCAGTGGCATTAAGTACATTCATAAAGTTGTATAACCATTGACACTATCCATTTCTGAAAGTTTTTTATAATCCCAGACAGAATCTTCCCATTCCCCTATATTCTAGTCCCTGGTTGTCTCTGCTCTACTTTCTGTCTCTGTGAATTTGCCTATTCCAGATGTCTCATGTAAGTGGAATTATGCAACATCTGTCCTTTTGTGTCTGGCTTATTTCACTTAGCATAATGTTTTCAAGATTCATCCATGTTGTAGCATGTATCAGAATTTCTTCCTTTTTTAAATTGAGTAATATCCAATTGTATGTCTATGTCACATGCTGTTTATACATTCATCTCTTGATGGGAACTTGCATTGTTTCTGCCTTTTGGCTATTGTGAATAATGCCGCCAGGAACATTGGAGATCTACTAGCATTTCGTATGTAGCATTTTGTTGAAACCTCGCAACAGCCCTAACACCTTTTTCTTGTTTATCATATTGTCTAGGGCCTCCACTTTAGTGTTGTAGGTGTTAGTTACTATCCCCATCATACAGATTAAAAAATTCAAGTCTTCCAAAGGCCTTCCCACAAGATTACCCAGCCAGGGGAGGGTGAGGATTTGAACCTAGATTTACTTGGCTTCATAGCCTATACCTTTTCCCACTTTTTGTCTTACTGCTTTATTGTAAAATTGAGTAGTTGGTATAAACAGAGGTTACAAATGGCTTCCTTTTGCCTGTTTTCAGGCCAGTAGATTAATGATGGGAACGTGACTTTGAGATAACCGACATGTTTTCTGCCTGGGGAGACTGCATTGAGTTGGTCATTTTGACCCCGCGATGATTCTCTTAGCCTTGTCGCTTTCCCTTCCTACTTCTACCCCAGGCTGATTACAATCTACCCCAGTATGTGCTCTATTTTTAATTTCTGAATTTAACACCGGGGAAGAGAACACTCATCTGAATTTAGCTAAATAAATCTTTCAGGAAAAAAAATTCATCTCTCAAATGAGTGGATTGAATTAGATGATTTCTCAAGTTCCATTTAGCTTTTTGAGTATAAGGGCTGTGAGTTGAATGTTAAAGATGGCAACTACTTCCAAATTCTAAAAAAATAAAATAAAATAAAAAATAAGAAACATGATCAAAAATTGGAATGGAGAAGTACAGAGTCTTGGTGAGGCAGAAGGACTTGCTAACGAATGTTGCAGCTAAAAGATTAGAGGGGAAAAAATAAAACCTTTTTTTAACTGCTTAATGAATCCTTCTGAGACTGATGTTGCCTTGATGTTAAATGCTATGTAATCATCACATTGGCTAAAAAAGCAGATGGAGAGAAACCTAAAGGACCCTTTCTGAACAAGGTGCACATGGCCAGACTCCAACCAGATGAATCCCAGTCAGGCAGCACCCAGAGATTAAGGCCTGCCTGGTATTCAGATCATTCTAGTGTTTTTAACAAGAGTCAGCATTCCTAAGCTCTTTCTTGCTCAAATATTACACACTACTTATACTTAACAGAGCTTTTTACTTAATAGAACACTTATAGAACATTGATATGAAAACATAATGGACTGTATTCAAAGAAATGTGTCTGCTTGTTTCGGATGGTAGCACTGTCTGTTTTAATTTCCATTATATCCATCTGTTCATACAAAATTATGTTCATCAGTTAAATCGGACTTCCCACCAATTGTAATCACTCAAGAGAAATGTTCTGCCCTTAATTCTTTTTTTTTTTAATTCTATAAGCCTTTGCAAGCTGCTATGTGTCACTAAAACTATTCCTCTCCTCACATTTCTTCTCTTCAAAATTCTTATGACAGCCTCATGTGAGTAGTGTTGGGGGCTATGTGGCATTGGATTTTCTATATCATTAATTTGTTTATCAAACAAATACTTATAATGACCTACCATGTGCTGAGGGCTGTACTAGGCACTGGAGTCGAGTGTGAACAAAATAGAAACAGTCCTTTCCCCAAAGACCTCATGGGATAATGTAGGGAGACATGAATTAAAGACGTAGTCTTTAGGTATGTGGCTGTAAGCCAGGTGAGAGCAGTGAAGAGAAAGTAAAAGAAGTGAGAGGAGCTTGTAGCAGGGTGTCTGGCCGAGACTGAGGAGGTGAGAGTTGATGATGGTTTTCTTAGGGCCTGATACCACGCAGAGGAATGAGTAGAGGCAAGCCAATCAAGGATGGGGCAGAGCGTGTCAGGTGGTGGGAATTGCGAGCCTGTCAGCTCTTAGCTGCAGCCCAGGGGGATGAATTTGCTCAGGGTCTCAATGACATTCACATGTCATTGCCCCTTGGTCTCTGTAACTGATGTTTCATTTTCACCCACTGCATCACTCCAGCTGTTAACCATTTACACTGATACACAAGTGTCTTCACAGGAAAAGAAGAGGTTCAACATAAGATAATGGAGAGAAAAGAGATTAGTGGGAGAGGAAAGAAGAACATAAATATGGAAAAACTAGTCTGTGAACGTGGAGATGTGAAATCTAGGAGTAGCTGCTAGAGAGCAAGTAGGTCGATAGAAGAGAAATTTTTGAATTTCACACAGAAAGAAGAGAAAACCAAGGAATGCATAGGAATAAGAATAATAAATAGAGTGGGAAGATATTTAATGAATAACAAAATTCAAGGACTTATGTTAATCAACTTCTCTTTATGTAGTACTTTATTATGGGACTAATGAGACTGGAAGTGTAACACAATTTAGTTTAATTAGTTTCATTCATTCATTCATTCAACAAATTGTGATTGAATGTTTACTGGGTGCTGTGAGTTACGTTAAATAATGGGGATAAATGAATGACTGAGAAGTAGGAGGGGCTATCATGTTAGCAGAACAGCAAAGCATACAAATAAATACTTAGCAATAGAGTAATTTAAAACCTGTAATAGAAATCCATATGAGTGTTGGTAATCAATTATAACCCTATCCCCTCTTTCTCAGTTTTAATATGTAAGATAGAGATGGAATGGGAAACCATTTGGTAACTTGCTTTACCTTAATTAGCCTACATTGGTTCCACAAATTCCATGCAGCATTATAATTACTCTTTTGGCCATAACTGTGAGACTTCACACCTGCTCAAAGAGTGCAACCTCTCTGAGTTGAATGTACTTTATTGTGTTCACAAGTAAATAACTTTCTTTTTGCCAGAGTATGGTTGGTTTTGGAGTTCTCCTTGTATATGCAGTACTTTTTCCAAAAAGTTTCCTCAAAGACATTTTAAGCCACAATAACAGGGTACATCTTGGCCTTAGAAACTGAGTTCATGGGAGGAAAAGGGAGACGTACATACTTGTCCTAGATCTCACCGAGTGCTCCTGGTGTGACCTACAGCTTCTATCAGCCTACACATCAAGTGAGAAACCACTGCAAATGAAGTGCTTGCTCTGTACTGCTACAGAAATCAGAATCAGAGTTGCCTTCGGCCATTATTCAACACAAATGGGACTTTTCCAGAGTTTTAGTTTCCATTTGGCTTCCACTGAATGTGTTGTGTTCAGGAGAAAAAGTAATGGTGTCAGTGCCAATTGCAACACTCCAAATTTTGTCAATTTTCATAGGATAATTTTCCAAACACTTCTGAACTCTTTTTTTTAAAGTCTTTAACTCATTACATAGTAAATAGAATTATTGATTGCAGGCACAGTTTCTAGGTACTTGGAGATATTATTAAGCATAATGTGAGGTTCCACTCCTTGTCAGTCAGAGAATAACTTCAGGAATATTAACCATTGTATTTGTACATGCAATCTAAGATGGAAGGAAACGATTAAAAAGTCAGGTTTTATGACCACCCCATTTTCCTGTGCCTTTCAGATCCTTTGCCTCCTGCCCAATTTCAGAACTCACAGCAGCCCCACAAAGAATAATCTACCTCTGCCTCTTTCCTGAATACCTGCCATTTCTGGGTCATTCCAAAGTTTTACATCTGCTCTGAGTGGGCTGGGCTTATAGTATTCCTAAAGCTCCTTGAGAGCTGATAAGATACCTTCTCAGGGTCCTCTTCTAAAGAAATGGCCCAGAACTGTGTTTATACGATGAAAATTAGTCTTCGAACATTTCATAAAGAACATTTCCTTCTATATTACTGAATGCTTTTATGCTTACTGAGAACTAGTCCAGAAATTATCTCTTAAAATTATGCTTACTGAGAACTAGTCCAGAAATTATCTTAAAATATTTCTGTGAGATAGACATTCCAATACCACATTTATAAGTGAGGGAACTGAGGCTCACTTTATTTAAGAGATATCCCTAAGATGACTGCCTTCATTTTCTCCATTTTTAAGACCATATTTTCTAATCCGTAATCCCAGTTTGATCTGTAATTCTTTAGAGAGCGCTTTCTAGAGAGGACATTGGAATTGCCTCTGCAATGTCCATAACAATGAGAAGCGCAGCCAGGAGCCCATCCCAGCTCCCCAGTAGATTCTGACTCATCTAAGTGAATTGGAGCCTGTCTTTCTCCTGCCTATAGTGATAGTTCAAGGATGGGCCCAGGACCCAAGCTCATATCTACTGAAGCTCAGGAATTTTGTTTAGTGATTAGGGAAGAAGAATTCTTTCTCACCTAAGTTGTGAATAAGGAAGTATATAACATCAGGGCTTTTGGCAACCATTGTGGGGCCACAAGAAGAGACTGACTTCTACCACATGGAAGATATAGCAGAGATATGGGCAAAAACTAAGTCCTTAATAGTAACATTAATCTTTTGGTTTCCTTCTAACCTAAAGCCTTTCCTGTTTCAATCACATGAACCAATAAATATCCCTTATAATTAAAACCAGTTTGGGTTACATTTTCTGTTGCTTGCAACCAAAAGCAAGTTTACTAACACATGATTTAATTTAATATCAACAGGGTCGGGCACGGTGGCTGACGCCTGTAATCCCAGCACTTTGGGAGGCCAAGGTGGGTGGATCACTTGAGGTCAGGGGTTTGAGACCAGCCTGGCCAACATAGTGAAACCCCGTCTCTACTAAAAATATAAAATTAGCTGGGTGTGGTGTTGCATGCCTGTAATCCCAGCTACTTGGGAGGCTGAGGCTGGAAAACTGCTTGAATCCAGGAGGCAGAGGTTGCAGTGAGCCAAGGTTGTGCCTTTACACTCCAGCCTGGGCAACAAGAGCAAAACCTCCATCTAAAAAAAAACTATATATATATATATATATGTGTGTGTGTGTGTGTGTATACACATACACATATATCAACAAGAAGTTTAATAAGCATATTCTGCTTTAGGTTCTCTAAGTTGTCAATAAAGCCATTGAATGAAAAGACGTCAATATTGTTTCCTAGAGCAGGAGAAAACCAGTGACATTTGTTTTATAAAAGGACTTCAAAGTACGTAGAGAAATTATTTATAAACAATAATGCCACACTCTCTGCACATCTGTCAGCCCAGCCCCTGTTTGGGTATTTGGGCTCACCTTGCCTGTTTCAGATACTCAATCTGTCCTCTTTGTTCTTAGAGTGTGGAGTTCTGCTTGGCATCTATTGCCACTCTGACTTGGGTCTGCCATATTCCCCACCTCCTTTCCAATGACACTGAAACTTAGTTCTCTCAAACCTCATTCCATACTGATGATCTTCACACTGTTTTCTTGGGACATACTAAGTAATCTTCTCATGCATTTGTTGATTTATTTTAAAAAATTTGTTGAGCACATTTTATATTCATCAAATTTCTTAGTTGTAAACTGGAAAATCTGCTCTAGCTATTGTAAGAAGCATGGCTTATTAAACATAACAAATCTCAAGAAAAGTCAGAAAACTGGGTTTGGCTGCTACACAGAGCGACCAGGAGATGCACCTAACTGCTCTGCGAAGTACTACTGTATAGTCACATGGCACTGGATTCCAGAAACTTCCCTGCAGCTGCCTCAGAAGAACCAGATGCCTCTGCCACCATGCCCCCCATGAATCTGATGTTCCTCCTTATGGCTACCACCTCTCACTGCTCACCTCCAAACCCTACATAGGGCTGTCTGCTTGGTGGAGCTATGTCTTAAGCAAAACATGACTTTCAAGCCAGACTAGGAAAAGTAATTTCATAGGAAGTCAAACTAGAATAAGGGCTGCCATGAGAGCTGAGGGAGACAGCTTTGTTTCTGCCATGTTACCAAGTGCTGAGCACTGTTTTTGGCAGTGTGGGTCGAGCTATGAAGAAGAGAGACAACATCTCTGGCCTTGCAGAGCAGAAAGCCTAGAGGGGAAGCAGATAACAAATAAGTACCTAGATATAATTTTAAATAGTGATAAGTAGTATAAGAAAAATAAGATAGATTAACAGGCTGAAGATAGGTATATTATTTTTGATAGGGTGTCCAGGGAAGGCCCTTGTGAGAAAACAAAATTTGAGCAAAGATGTGAATAATGAGAAGCAGAAAGAAAGCTGTATGGAAATCTGGGACAAGAGCATTCTAGGCAGAGGGAACAGCAATTTCAGAGGCTCTGATGTGGGGATAAGCTCAACATGCTGAATCAACAGTCAGAAGGCCAGCATAGACCCAGGGAACATGACAGGGCATGATGTCAGATAAGTCTACAGGGAGGGATCACACGGGAGCTGGGATATTATACTAAGTGTATTAGGGAGCAACTTGGCATAACTTAGATTGTGTGAAGATTTCTCTGGCTGCCGTATGGAGAACACATCATGGAAGGGCAAAAGTAGAAGCAGGGAGACTAATCCAAGGCCTGTGTGGTTGCCCAAGCAAGGGACCCCAGAGGCTTGAACTGGAGTGGTGATGGTAAGAAGAGGTGGCAAGAAGTGGTGCAATTCCTGCAAGTTTTGTAAGTAAACCTAATAGAAGTTGCTAATGGATTGGATATTGGGGATGAGGGCAAATCAAGGATGGTTGCCTAAGCTTTTGGCCTGAGCAACTGGGTTGATGATGGGGCCTTAGTAATAATGGGTAAGATCTGAGAAAGAATCAGTCTTGGGGGCAGACAGGAAAGACAATCAAAAATAGAAATCCAAGCGGAGATGTAGAGTTTCCAAGATGATAGTAGCACAGGGAAGAGGTTGAGATTGATGGTATAAATTGGGAAGACATCAGGATATAGATGCATTTAAAAGCCAGGCAATGGCTGGGCACAATGGCTCACGCCTGTAATCCTAGCACTTTGGGAGGCTGAGGCGGGTGGATCCCTTGAGGCCAGGAGTTTGAGACCAGCCTGGCCAACATAGCAAAACCCCATCTCTACTAAAAATACAAAAAATTAGCTGGGTGTGGTGATGCACACCTGTAATCCCAGCTACACCGGAGGCTGAGGCACGAGGATCACTTGAACCCCAGAGGCAAAGGCTACGGTGAGCCGAGATGGTGCCACCGCATTTCAGCACTCCAGCCTGCGCAACAGAGCAAGACTCTGTCTCAAATAAATAAATAAATAAATAAATAAATAAATAAATAAAATATAATTAAAGCCAAGCAATTGGATGAGATTACGTAGGGAGAGAGTGTAGATAAGACAGAAAAGAGGATCAAGAACTGAGCCCCAGGGCACTCTAAAGTTTGTAATTTGGGAATAAGAAAAAGAAATATTCATTAACTAGTTTTTGAGGAAAGATGAAAACCAGGAAAGTGTGATGTCCCAGTTACCAAGTGAATAAAGTGTTTCCCAAGGGAGGCACTGAGTACCAGTGTTGCATACTTACTCAGCTCAGAAGTCTTGTAAGATGGCAATCAGTGCTCTTGGTACAATGAAGGTTGCTGATGACCTTGGCAAGAGCCATCTAAGTTTAGGACTGTAGTGGGCATGCAGAATGGGAATTGTCCAGATGAAAGGGAAATTAATTCAGAAGAGAGAGGAGGTAATTGTAGGAGAAAAGTAGGAGGGAGCAGATGAGGCCAAGGATGGAGGGCTGGCCTTAGACAGGAGCAGGACAATAAGAAGGCGAAGGGCAGAATGTACAGGGGCTTTAACGATGGAGACATGAGATAGCCCTGGTCAGGGTTCTGAATCTATATCTGTCATATCTAGTAGAAGTGTGGCCATCAGCTCAAAGTGAAATTGAGGAGAGGAGAGGGTGAAGAAAGGTTTGAAGGAAAAGGAGAAAAGTGTGAAGGTCTCATTTCTGAGAGTTGAAAAGTGATTTTTGAGAGAGAGTGATCACAGGATTACTGAATTTACCAACACCTGTGGTCATGAATTTAGAGTGAGACTAGTGGTATAGTTACGTATTTTGCTCAAAACAGCCTTCAGAAAGCAATGCTCCCTTTTTGTTTTGTAAACCCAAAAAGTAGAGGAAGTTCTGGTGATGGAAATTACACACCTGGGAGGAGGCAGGACTAGAACAATGACAGGTGTTGGCGGAGGTATTTTCAGGAGCCAGGGCCTTGTGATGCCCTTGAAGACACATCCTGTGGGTGGCTGATTCCTGCTGCCTTGTAATGAACGTTCTAGCACTGGTTTTGTCTGCCCAGGATAACCCTGAGCCCCAAGTGCCTCCTTTCGGGACAACCCCAGCAGTCTTTGCTCCATTTGCCATCCATCCATCTAGTACCTTCCCATTAAGTACCTAAGGAACTCATGAAGTGTAAAGTGAGCAAGCCTGAGCTGAACCAAGGTAAACTACCCCTGTTGCTTACAATGGGAGCAAACCTATATTCAGCACTTGTTATGGGCTAGGTGCTATTCAAAGTAATTTGCACATTTTAACTCTTTTAATCATCTCAACTACCTGTGAGGTAGGTACTATTTTTATTCCTGTTTTACAGATGAGGAGACTGAGGCATGTTGAGTGACATGCCCTAGGAAAGCTAGGACTTGCACCTAGACAATCTTGCATGAGAATCTGGGACTTCAACCACCATCCTATACTGTTTCCCTTAGTTATTGTTTACTGGCATATGGCCCAATTTTGGTAGTATTAAAGTAATTAAAGTAATCAGGCATGTTTTGCTCTTGTGTTTTTATACAAATTTTCCAATCGCTATAAACAGAATAACAGTGTATCCAGTTCTATACAGGTTATTTCATTTGTCTAAAACTCATGGGGCTCACAATGCTACAGTTATGCTACATTTACTTTATTCAGTCTTCACCATCTTGTAGTGAATATTGTTGTTAAGATATTTATTCTGTACTCAAGCTTTGGACTTCACCCTGCATTTAGTTGTTATTTCCTTTTGCATTTTTATTGCTGTTGAAGCTCCGTTGTTTGTCAGGTGTGCGTGTTCTGCTAAATTAATCCCATTACCTTTCTACTTTACCACAGGTTATCATTGCCCTTTCAGAAAAGCATCGTTCACACATTCCTTATAGAAACTCCATGATGACCAGTGTCCTACGAGACAGTTTGGGAGGGAACTGCATGACAACTATGATTGCAACACTCTCCTTGGAGAAGAGGAATCTCGATGTATGTTGGCTCTTCTTTCTGGAGATCTTAATCTAGGTTTTTACTGCTAGCTGGTGAGACAGAGTTGAGGATCTTGGGTGGGTTTCTACCTTTTCAGCTGGGTTGAGTTATGCCTTCAGAGGGCAGTACCCTACAGAGTTCACAGCTGTGGGCTATTTGTCATTGTTATAATAACCCCATTTGAGAATTGACTTCACATAGCACAGGATAGTTTGAAGAAGCCTCATACACAGATTTTGGAAGGCCTACTGATGGGTTGGCTATGTCACCCAAGGAAATGGGAAAGCTGACCCATCCGCTTCTCTTGCTTGATTTTGCCCCAATGACTAAGAGCTGGATACCTTGGAGATATCTCTGAGATGTGTCCCTAGAAATGTTGCTGAGTGAAGCAACTGCGATGCTTTGGCAGGAGCCAGCTACTGAATGGCTCTTCTGGGTTGCTTTAGAGCCAGCTGATGTTTCATGTTTGGGATCCAGACACTCCCCAGAGGAGGAAACAAAGCCAAGACTTTGATTGTAAGATGCCTTGACCAGCCTCTCTTTTTGACCTGTTATGAATCTTTATTTTGTGATCTTTCATGTGTGTGGATTATGGCTCTTGCTATGATTATGATTCATATATGTGGTTCTGGTCTAAGTGATCAACAACTGAAAACACATACTCTACCAGCTGCCATTTAGGACCTTGTGATCTCTCACTTTTTGGCATTGGTAATTTTATTAAGCCAAAATAAAATTTAGTTAAAAAATAATGTTCTAGAGCAGGAGTCCCTGACCCCCAAGCTGTGGACCAGTACGAGGTCTGTGGCCTATTAGAAGCTGAGCCGGGCACCAGGAGGTGAGTGGTGGTGGAGCCAGCAATACTGCCTAGGCTCCACCTCCTGTCAGATCAGTGGTGCCATTAGATTCTCATAGGAGTGTGAACCCAGTTGTGAACTGCACATGCAAGGGATCTAGGTTGTGTGCTCCTTATAAGAATCTAATGCCTGGTGATCTGAGTTGGAACAGTTTCATCCTGAAACCACACCACCTGCGCCCTCTGTCCGTGAAAAAATTTCTACCACAAAACCAGTCCCTTGTGCCAAAAGTTGGGGACTGCTGTTCTAGAGCAAAGCTTCCTAATTTAGGGGCATAGTTCCTCGTTGTGAGTTTTATACACATCACTTTTTAGGTATGTATCTTTTTTCTGTGAATAAAAATTAAGCTTTCTCTAGAGAGAGATCTCTGTATGCCATAATATTTTAAGAAGTTACTTTGCTTTCTTAGGAGTCTATATCTACCTGCAGATTTGCACAGCGAGTGGCACTCATAAAGAATGAAGCTGTTCTTAATGAAGAAATTGATCCCAGATTGGTAAGCACCTTTTAACTATATTAAAAAATATATTGAAGTATGTCAAAGATTAGCTAAAACTTGTAGGTGCACTTACTCTGTACTGGGAATGTTCTAAGTAGTGGAAACATATTAACTCATTTAATCCTCTAAATAACCTATAAGTAGATGCTATCTGTATCTCCACCTTAAAGATGACAAAACCGAGATAAAAAGATGTTTGATAACTTGCTCAGAGTCATAGTGCTAATAAGTAGCAGAGTCGGCCTTCACACCCAGGCAGTCTAACTCAAGAGCCACTGCTCTTCCTACTTGCAGCTTCCCATTGCTTCCCGTCAAAGACGTGCAGAGAATCCTAAGGACTCATACAACAGAATCACACATGATTACATTTATATGAATAACTTAACCTTTGAAAATACATCAGTTTAACTATCGAGAGACAATAATAGTATATCTGTGTGTGTGTGTGTGTGTGTGTGTGTGTGTGTGTGTGTGTATGTAGAGACAGAGTCTCGCTCTGTAGCCCAGGCTGGAGTGCTGGAGTGCAGTGGCATGATCTCGGCTCACTGCAACCTCCAACTCTTAAGTTGGAGCAATTCTCCTGCCTCAGCCTCCCGAGTAGCTGGGATTACAGGCACAAGCCACCACACCTGGCTAATTTCTTTTGTATTTTAGTAGAGACGGGGTTTCACCACATTGCCCAGGCTGGTCTCGAACTCCTGAGCTCAGGCAGTCCACCTGCCTTGGCCTCCCAAAGTGCTAGGATTACAGGCGTGAGCCACCATCCCTGGCCAATAATAGTCCATCTTATATAAAAGCTCATAAAGAAAGAAAAGTCCTAATAGCCATTCAGTAGAACCGTATTTTACATACTCGTTCTGTCCCTTGTTCTAGTGTTTTTTAAAATTCATTATTGGCTTGATCCGTCAAACTTCTAGTTTTATAACAGTAAATCCTGCTTTATCAAAAAACTATTTTTAAGCAAAAAAAATTTACATGGTAATAATTTAGCTTATCATAAATGCAGATATTTTCTATTCTCTATTTTGTTAGTTTTCTGTAAATGAAATGCAACACTGAATCAATTTATGCCAACACTGAAAATGTTAAAATAAAATATCTCAATTATATCAAATTCCATAATTAAGATTATACTATTTTTCAAATCGCTCAGCTTTTCTTATTTCTCTGGAAAATAAGCTGGTATGGGCTTAGTAATCTGCATTGTAAAAAAAAGGTGAAATCTTTTTTTTTTTTTTTGAGACGGAGTCTCGCTCTGTCGCCAAGGCTGGAGTGTAGTATCGTGCTCTCGGCTCACTGCAAGCTCCGCCTCCCAGGTTCACGCCATTCTCCTGCCTCAGCCTCCCGAGTAGCTGGGACTACAGGTGCCTGCCACCACGCCCGGTTAATTTTTTGTATTTTTAGTGAGATGGGGTTTCACCATGTTAGCCAGGATAGTCTCAATCTCCTGACCTCGTGATCCGCCCACCTCGGCCTCCCAAAGTGCTGGGATTACAGGCGTCAGCCACCACGCCTGACCAAAAAATGTGAAATCTTACCAGCAGTGCTTCATTTATAAATTTCTAAAATCAAAAAAAAAAAGATCAAATTAATTGTTACCCATATTAATTACTACTTCCCCTTGATTGTCCTTTCTCCTCTTTCTCCCCATGGAACGACAGAGGGGAAGGAGGACAAAGGAATAAGGAGTGTATCTGCTTTGTTCTGCTTGCCTCAGAAAGCACCAAGCTCCTCTGATGGAGTTCTCTTCTGGAGAAACCAATGGGTGAGGCAGCATCGATTTCAGCATAGGCCCTGGTCAGGTATCAGCATCACACAGTGTTCCTGCTGGGGAAAGGAGACAGAATGCAAAGGCATGATTCAGGCGGAACTGAACTCCTAGGTGGATTTTGTTGCTGTCCCTACCCTTCTACCCTTCCAGTAGTCCTATAGCATTACAATGCCGAATGAGAAAGAGAGTTAACAAAGTGACTAGCCCAAGGCAAAAACTAGTTCAGAATTTACGGAAAATAAACATATTAGACATTGGAGGGTTTTATTGGTTTGTTTTTTGTTTTTTGTTTTGTTTTGTTTTGTTTTGTTTTTTTGCATTTGGCTAGAGGCTTTTCTTTGAAGGAATGTGAAGAATTTGAAAAAAAGGTAAACATTATTATGTGTTTGATATAGGTCTGTGAGAGATATGAAGAAAAGAGAAATGAGGAATCAAAAGCTAATAGCTGATAATTGATTGAACAAATGTTGAGGTCTTCCTGGTGCAGACTAATCTGGTAATTGACAAGTGCTGTTTCCTGGTCTCTTTTATAATTGCTTCTAAAAACTGACATTACTGTCAGTCATTTTATGTACAGAGCTTGTCTGAGGCACAAGTGACAGTTGAGAATTTGTCCTACAAACCACTCAAGACCAAACTTGGGTGGCATTTCCTATATCTTACTTTCAAAATTTAATGGCAAATATGAAGCCAACCGATAAGGATTTGCCCTGCTTTCTTTAAAAGTTTTGGTACCTCAGGCCGGGCGCAGTGGCTCACGCCTGTAATCCCAGCACTTTGGGAGGCTGAAGCAGGTGGATCACCTGAGGTCAGGAGTTTGAAACCAGCTGGATCAACATGGAGAAACCCCGTCTCTACTAAAAATACAAAAAATTAGCCTGGCGTGGTGGTGCATGCCTGTAATCCCAGCTACTCGGGAGGCTGAGGCAGGAGAATTGCTTGAACCCAGGAGGTAGAGGTTACAGTGAGCCAAGATTGCGCCATTGTGCTCCAGCCTGGGCAATAAGAGCGAAATTCCATCTCAAAAATAACCAAACCAAACCAAACAAAGCAAAAAAAGTATTGGTACCTCAGAGAGACAAGGTGGTAAAAGAACTATGAGCAAGGCCAGAGCCTGTGGTGACTGGGCATGAGCTCAAATCTCCTAAGGATGTCTCTAATGCCAGGGTTCCTTCAGTAATTGGATGGGAGGCATAACTGTAGTAATCTCAAAACCAAAAACACTTGGCTTAGTTTTGAGATTTTTATTCAATAAGACAGGAGAATAATTTGTTATTAGATTTGACTTAAATGCCTTAGTAAAAATAGAAAATATGACATCAATATTAGTTTAATAGAGAAGGGTGCCAATGTAGTTACTGTCTAAGGATTTTCATTCTGTGTAGATTGATGATCCTAAGAATATTTTTTAAAAAGAAGCAAACAAAACCCACATGAGCCTGTACATTTCAGTAAAATTCTAGGAGCACGACATGTTCAAAATACTCAATATCATGTTCTTTGGGACTTCTGGTCCTGTTGATATGGTCCAAATAATCTGAAACTCACCTATATACCCAAGCATCTTTGAAATACATATGTAAGGTTGAAAGGAAGTAAGGGAATTTTCCAGAGCCCAGAAACTAAGCTGAGGCTGCAGTTGTCCTGGAGTGGAGATGTAAAGGAGGTTGTAGCAAAGGAATAGAGATCAAAGCCCTGGGATGTTGCAAGATGGGTGCTGAACCTGACATCCTCTCTTTTCCCCAACACAAAACCAGTGAAAGGGAGAATTAGAAAAACAAAACAAAACAAAACAAAAACAATCTATCCACTAGCATATGGAGATGTCAGGTAAGCTTGTCCACTTTAGACTGGTCTATAGGTAGAACAAAAAGTAGTTTCTCTGAAAACTACTCTGAAAAATGTGAAACCCTAGCTCTGCCTCACGTAGGTTTGAAGTTCAAATTTACATAACCCCTGTAGTCTGACAATCCCCAAGCAAAAGAAGTTAGAAAATGAGTAAAGCGGGCCGGGTGCAGTGGCTCATACCTGTAATCCCAGCCCTTTGGAAGGCCAAGTGGGTGGATCATCTGAGGTCAGGTGCATGGCCAACATGGTGACACCTTGTCTCTACTAAAAATACAGAAATTAGCTGGGTGTGGTGGTGGGCGCTAGTAATTCCAGCTACTCAGGAGGCTGAGGCAGGAAAATCGCTTGAACCTGGGATGCGGAGGTTGCAGTGAGCTGAGACGGTGCCATTGTACTCCAACCTGGGTGACAAGACAAGAGCAAAACTCTGTGTTAAAAAAAAAAAAAAAAGTAAAGCTACTAAGAGAGAGAAAGGAAGGAAGGACAGACCAGATCCTATGGTGTTTTTCTTTCAAGTTTTGAGTAATACCAAATATTCCAGAAAGGATAAAAGCTGGATCAAGCCTGCTAATTTTTGTTTTAGGAATTTTGCATTATGATAGGAAGATTATTAATATGACACAGTATCACGAACTAGTTGGGTTTATTTTGGGAATTCAAGGTAATCTGTCACTAGAAAATATATCAATGTATAGTGTAAGAAAAAAATGAGAAAAGTTAAAAGCAAATTTAAGATAATGGTAATGGGGAATTCATTTGGGGAAGACTATATAGGGGTGAGGTCTTCAGACAGGTCTGTAATGTTCTATTTCTTAAGTACAGGGTACATGGATGTTCACTTAAGCTAAGTAGTGGGTACAAGGTATTCTTTTATATTGCTTTATATGCCTGAGATTGTTTATACTAAAACACTAATCACATGAATTAATATGATTCATCACATTCAGAGTTTAAAGACAGAAATTATATTATTTCATCCCTAGTTGCAGAAAAAGTGTTTGAGCACATTAAACATTCAACCATACTTTGAAAACATCATTTTAAAGGTGAAATGTTAGAAGAAATAAGACAGGAATGTCTTAAGAATTGAACTTGGAAGTCCTAGCTAGGAGAATGAGACAATAACAAGAAATAAAATGTATAAGAATTAGAAAAGAAGAAAAGCATCTGTCATTACTTGCAGACAATTTTATTGCTTACATAGAACATCCAAGACTATTTAATTATAATAGAATGCTCGAAGTTTCAGAAAATTATTTGGTACGTAATCCATACATAAAAATGAGTTGCCTTCCTATATGCCAGAAGCCAACAGTTAGAATATATAATTTTACAAAAATTATATTTACAGTATCAACAAAAACTTTTAAATTCCTGATAGAAAATATAATTAAAGACATGTAAGGTATTTATAAAGAAAATTATAAATCCTTATTGAAAGGAATCAGTGGAAAGCTATACCATGTTTATGGATGGGATAATTTAATATCATTAATTTGATGTCTGACCAAATTAACCTTTTAATTGAATGTAATAATTCCAGTTAAAATTTGAGGAGAACCTTTGGTAGAATTTGACAAGTTGGATCTAAAATTTACGTGGAAGAGCAAATGGCCAAGAATAGCCAAGTCTATTTTGGATAAGAACAGGATGAAACGGGCTTATCTAGATGCCAACTTTCTTAAGATTTAGTAATTAAATCAGTGTGGTATTGCCATATATAGTAAAATAAACAAATGTGTTTAACCAATAACCCAGAAATAGACACATTTATATGTATAAACATATTATATAATATAATTATAATAGCAAATCTTGTATGGTTAGCCATTTAAAATAAATTAAAATTTGATCCCTATTTCATACCTTATACACCTAAATGTGAAAATTGAACCTTTAACACTTTTTTTTTTTTTTTTTTTTTTTTGAGACGGAGTCTTGCTCTGTCGCCCAAGCTGGAGTGCAGTGGCGCGATCCTGGCTCACTGCAAGCTCCGCCTCCTGGGTTCACGCCATTCTCCTGCCCCAGCCTCCCGAGTAGCTGGGACTACAGGCGCCCGCCACTGCGCCCGGCTCATTTTTTTTGTATTTTTAGTAGAGACGGGGTTTCACCGTGGTCTCGATCTCCTGACCTTGTGATCCGCCCGCCTCGGCCTCCCAAAGTGCTGGGATTACAGGCGTGAGCCACCGCGCCCGGCCACCTTTAACACTTTTAAAAGATCATATAAGAATATATTCCTACAATTTGGGATAAGATAGATTTTCTTTCAAATGACACAAAAGTACAACCCATAAAGGAAGAAGGTGCTAATTAGATTATATTGAAATTCAGAACTTTCATTTAACAAAAAGAACACTGCAAAGTGAAAAACATGACATAGATTGAGAGAAAGCAGGTGCACTGCATAAAACTAACAAAGGATTCACATCCAGAATATAGAAAGAAGCTAGCAAATCAATAAGGAAAGGAAAAGCAAGTAAATGGAAACACGGACAAGAATGGGAATAAATAATTTTGAGCAAGGAAGAATCCAAACTGCCAATATACATATGCAAAATGATCAACTTCACAAATAATCACAAAAATGCAAATTAGAACCAAAATGAGATATCATTTTACACCTACCAGATTGGCAAAACGAAAGTACCTGTCAATATTACATACTGACAAAAATGTGGGCACAGGAACTTACATCTGTAGTTGATAGGAATGTAAATTTGTACTACTCTGAAGCGCAATTTAACAATATATAATAAAGGCAAGATACACATACTCTCCAGTCAGGAAATCCTACTTCTAAAGTGCACACTATAGAGAAACTCTTGCATACGTGCTCAAAGAGATTCATAATGTTCATAGCAACACTGTTCGTAATAGCAAAAGTAAAAATCCTAAATGTTCATCAACAGGAGACAAATAGATTCTGATATATTCCTTTACTGAAATACTATATATCCATGAAAATTAATGAACTAGAGCCACATGAAGCAATATTAATAAGCTTAAAAACACAATGTGAAGGACAAGAACAAGTCACAATTACATGCAGTAATGTAACATTTACATAAAGTTTGCAAAATGATACAATACATTATTTATTAGTACATGCATACATATGGAGTAAATGTATGAAAACACACAGAGAAATCAGATCTCTTAAATGCAGTACAGTGATCACCCCAGGAAGGATGGAAGGGGGATACCAATAGGGAGTTCCAGTTACATCAGTAATGTTTTATTTGTTTTAAAAAAATTATAGAGGCCAGGCAAGGTGGCTCATGCCTGTAAACCCAGCACTTTGGGAGGCCAAGGTGGGCAGATCATGAGGTCAGGAGATCGAGACCATCCTGGCTAACATGGTGAAACCCTGTCTCTACTAAAAAAATACAAAAAATTAGCCTGGCATGGTGGCACACACTTGTAGTCCCAGCTACTCGGCTGAGGCAGGAGAATAGCTTGAAACTGGGAGGCGGAGGTTGCAGTGAGCCAAGATTGTACCACTGCACTCTAGCCTGGGTGATAGAGTGAGACTCTGTCTCAAAAAAAAAAAAAAAAAAAAGTCTAGAACTATTTTGACAAAACGTTAAGATTTAACAAAGCTGGCTTTTTATACCATTACCCATTTTCGTGTCCATAAAATCGTTCATAATTGTAAGAGCTGTATGTCACCAAGTTAACCTTATTGAGAAGTTGACATTTGCTCTGCCTCTTTACCATTTGTAGATGATTAAACGCCTACAAAAGGAAATCCAGGAACTGAAGGATGAACTGGCCATGGTCACTGCGGAGCAGAGGACAGAGGCACTCACAGAAGCAGAGCTCCTTCAGTAAGCCTGCAGCCTTTTTTTTTTTTTTTCTTTTTCTTTAACAGTGAAAGTTTGTGTTAACTTCTTTGTTGGCCCTAATGTTATGAATTCACCTCAAAGCATGAAGGTCTCCTGGGACAGTCTGAAATTGCATTTAGGCGCCAGTTAAGAGTGGCGGCTTTCCATGAAAAGCTGGATAAGGCTGGCACTGTTCTTGCCGCCTCAGCTTTGAGGAAGTAAAGAACAGAGCAAAGAGAGGATGGGAATATCCTTCTCATGCCAGCTAAAGAAAAGGAATTGTATAATAGTCATGCAATTTTAAAACACACACACCAAACACTCTTGAGCTGTGGGTCTCAGATCTGAAAGGAATTCAAGAGACATCCTTTGTATTAAACAGCATCTTACTACAAGCACCAATTTATCCCATGCCAAAGTAAGCTCTCTCCTTTAATAAATGGATGGCCCATATATTATAGCTCAAACACTCTAACTGGGAATGAAAGCAGGTATTCAGGGCTTTATACAACTGCGGCATCTTTCAGAGCCTTTTAGATTTGCAGCCATATGGCATATCAGTGGTACAATGTGGCTCTCATTCTCTCTCTGATCACAGTGGGCTTTCTTGTTTCTGTGCTGCTTATTAAGCATGTATTGGGTAGTAAGAATGGGCCAGACTTTGAAGGCCGTGTCATTCTCTATTTCCAAATGAGAAATAGAGCTACATAGGACTTTTCTAAAGATATACTATAATTTCAGCTAACACTCCCTTAATGAAGAAAATTGTAAATAAGAAAGAGAATAAAAGTAATTGTCTTTAAACTATTTCATAGCTGCCCCTGAGGTAGGTCTAAAGCTTGAGAAGCCTCAGCAAGGTTTCTGTTATAGTCAAAGCTTTCACTCCTGTGAGATAGCGTTTCCTAATTCCAGAACACTGTATTTAATAATATGATAGGCCCCTAAGGCTTTTCTTGCAAGACTGCTTTGTGACATATTTGCAATTAAGGGGAAGCATATTGCCAAAAATTCAAGTTAAAAAAAAGTTTTATGTCGTTTCTTCAAACAACTTGGGATATCGTAGATATTGAGAACACTAACCTCAGACTATCTTCACTATGGTGCTCCTTTCCCCTCAAAGAAGGGAATTACCAATTATTGTCTTTGAAAAGGTCTCTTCAGAATTTTGATCTACAAGTCAGGATCCAGTCAAGAAAACAGAACCACTCTAGGCCTTTTAACAAAAGGAATTTAATATAGGAAATTGATTGCCAGGGGACAGTTTTGCTGAGAAACTAAACAGGAAATGAAGCAACACCCCAGAGATCAGTAACAGCAGGAGCCTCTATGCCCCTAGGATTGCAGGGACAATAGGAGAAGGTGATGATACCAGAACCTACGAGCAGGAGCTGACAGGCAGAAACTAGACCATACTGGGTGCTGTCTGACAGCAGCTGCAGCCATTGAAGAGCCACAGGTGCTAGTTGAGACACCATCCAAAGGGACATCCTTGGCTTCTCTCACATCCCCCTTTCAGTCTTCCACCAGTGCTTCCTGTTGGCTGAAGTTACCCAGAAGCCAGTTGCTAAAAAAGTCGAGGCATGTAGTTTCTTGTGATGCAGAGTCAAATAGGGGAAGGGGGAAACTGAGTCTAAAAGCAACATATTCAATCAGTACCAATGTTCACACCTATAATCTCAGCACTTTGGGAGGCCGAGGTGGATGGATCACCTGAGGTCAGGAGTTTGAGGCCAACCTGATCAACATGGAGAAACCCCGTCTCTACTAAAAATACACAATTAGCTGGGCGTGGTGGCACATGCCTGTAATCCAAGCTACTCAGGAGGCTGAGGCAGGAGAATCACTTGACCCAGGAGGCAGAGGTTACAGTGACCCAAGATCGCGCCATTGCACTCCAGCCTGGAGTGAAACTCCATCTCAAAAAAAGAAAAGAAAATCAGTACCAGTGTTTCTGCGAATTCCTGTGTATCCTGTATGTTTTTCAGGAGGCTTAGTTTAAGGGTAAGATTTTGAATGTGGTGGTTTCAGTATGTCAGACTGAGTGTGCTGCAGGTTCCCTCTATTGTACCAAATCTAGAGAATTATAGCACTGGGATAAACACATGGATCTCTCATCATACCTAAAAACAGGAAGCAGACTTCTTGATGGTCTAGAGATCTCAAGGAATTCCTGAGGGACTGAGAGGTGGGACTTGAGATGGGCAAGAGAAAAGGATAGACGAAGGCATGGGGGCAGCATAATAATGGCTTCACATCTGGAAGTGTGGAGCCCTGGAGCAAGAGAGGACTAGGAACAGCCAATGAGCATTTGGTAGAGCTGTTGTAGTGGGGGCAGTTTGTCCTGTGAACCCCTGAGCACTCCTCTTCTGCAGTGTTGAGGATGGAGAGACAGGGAAGGGCCCTAGGTAGCTGACAGAGCCTAGAGAAACTCTGAAGACCAGTTGCTGTCTTCAGCTCTATTTATCCATACCCTATTCTCACGAAAAATAAGAAGAAACGGTCGGGCGCGGTGGCTCATGCCTGTAATCCCAGCACTTTGGGAGGCCGAGGCAGGCGGATCATGAGGTCAGCAGATCCAGACCATGCTGGCTAACATGGTGAAACCCCGTCTCTACTAAAAATACAAAAAAATTAGCCGGGCCTGGTGATGGGCATCTGTAGTCCCAGATACTCAGGAGGCTGAAACAGGAGAATGGTGTCAACTCGGGAGGCGGAGCTTGTAGTGAGCCCAGATCGCGCCACTGCACTCCAGCCTGGGCGACAGAGCGAGACTCCGTCTCAAAAAAAAAAAAAAAAGAAAAAGAAAAATAAGAAGCAGCTCCAGCACCAGCAGCTGCTTCAGCCCCTCATCCCAGACCGGCTGCCCAAGCTGAGATACCTGAGAGTCCAGGAAAGATGAGCCCATGGTTCAGGAGTGGCTGGAATTAGAAATATGAGACCAAAAGTCTGAGAAGGGTAAGAACAAGAAGATTGTGTAATCCGCAGGGCCTTAGAACTAAACATTACCCAAGGTGATTAATATCTTTAGAGAAATAGAATATGGTATTACATCTATGAAACAAGAACAAGAGTTGACTTTTATGAAGCAAAATCAAGGGGAAATCTTGGAAATGAAAAAAAAAAAAAAAAGCTGTTGTTGCTAAGAACTTAACAGATGGCTCAATAACAGGATACAAAAGCCGAGGAGCAAATTGGTGAGCTAGGACGATCAGGGCTAAGGATTTCTTCCAGAATATGAGATAAAAGGATAAAGGGATAGGTTAAAAGAAAAGTGTCATAGAGATTAGCTCTATATTTACCAATATCTGATGAATAGGTGTTGGTGAGAAGAAAATAGAGATGATGCAGAGGAGCCAACAGTTAAGAAATAATATCTCAGAATTTCCTGGAACTAAAAAAAAAGACATGCAACTTCAGAATGAAAAGCTACCAAGTGCTAAGCTATATAGTCCTATTGTAGAAAATTTTTACAGCCACAAAATACAGAAAAGAATCACGAAAGTTACCAGAGAGGAAAAAAAATTTCTCTAAATCAAGAATCTGATTTAGAGCAGACTCCTCATCAACAATTCTGAAAACAAGAACATCTAGTGCTAAGGAAACAAACAAAAAGTACTTTAAATGTATTTTTCTGAATCTAGCCAAATTTGTATTAAATGTGAAGATGAAAAAAAGCATTTTGTAGACATGCAAACTTTCAGACTGAAAGAATACCACCCCAGATCCTTTCTCAGGGAATGACCACAGATTATAATTTAACAAAAGAAAAATGCAATAAAGCATATGCAATAAGAATGAGCAAATTTTGTTACATCTTCTTTATGATTCTTAAATTGTATAATATTTATATCTTTTACTAACTTGCCATTTATTCCATAACTGAATTTTTCTGTTTAGAAGGTATAACAGTCAAATAACAATCACATTTTTCTTTCACAGGAGTTTGGGGGATAGAATGAAAACTAAAATTGTGACAACAGATTGAAATACTGAAGGACTTTTAGATCCTGGATTGATTTCTGTTGATCTGTAGATAAGAAATATACAAATGTCAACCTCAACAGATTCTATAGACAGTCTGCAGGGTTGCCAGTAGTTTTTTGTGCAATTGGTTTGTTTGTTCGTTAATTTAACACTCATTATCTAGTATTCACAAAACTCTGTTAGGCCCTGAGTAGGGCACAGATATGAGCAAAACCTAGATCCTGCTCTCAAGAAACTCATAATTTAGTGGTGATGACAGACATAAGCACAAGTAATGATGTGATATATAAACATTATGAGAAGATAGAAACAAAATACAATGAGAATGCAGAGATAGCAATAATTACTTTTGAGCTCAGGAATCATGTAAAACTAGTTCATGTGCTACTAAAAAAACTTCAGCATTTCCCAATGAAATGACTTGTCTGCTGTCAAGAGAAGTGTGCTATGTATCATTGTGTCTTATTAGTGATTTCTGAGTAGCCATTAGGGAGAACAAATGTTGCAAGCGAAAATCGCCCTGCCAAAGCAAACCATACGGTTTCACAAAAGTAGTAAATTTGGCACTTGTTCACGACTGACAGTGCGGATTATTCAGACAAAGTGTTTTGTTCTTATTGTTTATGTTAAATTGTTATCATTATGTTTTTCCATAATTACTTAGATTGAACATTAGTTCAACCTACATTTCAACAGACTTAAGAGTCTTTTATCATCTTAAAATGAAAGACATAAATTAAAATTTACCCCTAAAGTGCCGCTGCTGTTTAACACCATTAGTCTGTACTGCTCTGTGTTCTAGAGCCCCTGGATATTTATTCAGGAATGTGAATCAGCTTCAGTCCTCTCATTGCACCCAAACTCTCCAGGAGGCTGGCAGGAGGGGGATGATGGTGCTGGAGAGAGTATGTATGCCAGAGCTTGTCAGGACACAGTGGCAGAATTGCTCTCACCCTCTTCTACTTCTTTGTCCTGCAGATTCCTGCAGGATTATGTTGATTGGCATGACATAAGGATAT